CTCATACTCCTTAGAATACAAAAATTAGCTGGGTGTGGGTTGGCAGGTTTATACGTCAGCTACTCAGGACTGGAAAAGAGAGGAATTGCTTGAACCGTAGTGGGCCCAGAGGGTTGCAGTGGAGCCAAGGATCCCACACCAACCTTGACTCTAACCCTGGCAAGGGCACAGCGAGACCGCGGTTGGCTGGTTCGAAAGAAAAAGAAAAAAAAAAGATTCCCGAACTGCCACTCCAGAGTGAGGGACCTCCGATGAAGAGGAGAGAGAGAAAAGAAAAGGAAGGAAGGAAGGAAGGAAGGAAGGAAAGAAAGAATTGAATGTGGCTGAAAAAATCGAATGGCACAAAAGAATACAATAAAGATTAACCCTCCCTCCACCTCCCACCCTCTGCCCCCATCCCGCAGTACCCACTGTCACTATTTCCTATGTACATGTGTCTATGCATATACATCTAACCAGTCCCTTTTTGTTTAAACACAAATGGCAGCATGTGACACACTGTGCTGCATCTTGCCTTGTTCATTTAGCCATGAATATTGTAATTCATAGCAGTTAAGCAATTTCTTTGGCCTAAAACTCTATTCTGGTCCTGCTCACTGGTTAATTCATAGCCATACAACAGTGCACAAAGAACATCTACTTTCATCCACCACCACCATCCCCTCCCCTTCCCCTACCCCATTCTCTGGGCTTCTAACCCCCCTCTATTCCCTTCTTCCCGCCCAGGGCACCTACTCACTTACCTGCCAGATGTAGGATGAGGCTTAAGATGACCACTTGAGGATGCATTATAGGATCAGCCTGAAGGAAAATGAGCAGACAGGCTGGTTGGTACACCCACCAGATGGTATCTGATCAAGTCCTAATTCTCAGATTGCAACTTATCTTTGGATGATTCATATGAGCCTGCTCTGATGGAAATGAGAGACCACATACAACAGCTTCCGAGCTCTGTTAGCTCCCTGCGGCTAAGAGCTCTGTGCCTTCCAAAGGACCAGGAAAGCGGTCCACAGAAGCAGCCCCTGACTTCCCAGCTTCTTCCCCACACATAGGCTCCAAACTGACTCCTGGTCCTGATACAGGGGATCCGGGAACAAACAAAAAGGAAACTGGAAGCAGAGAACCAGCGTGGCTCAATGGCAGCACAAGAGCAAAGGCCAGCCTTCCAGTGGCAGAGCTGCACTTGCTTTTCAGAGTCGACTGGGCCTCTGGTGGATGTGGGGCTTTTCCTGCTCAGTGGCTACAACGATTCATCCCCAGCCTTAACAGTGACATTGCCAAGTTTGCCGTTAGCAAGAGGAATTGACAGTGAATATGAATCACTGTGCCTAACCTTTCATGCCCGTGGACAGCGTGATTGAGACTGCAGCTCCTTACCATGGGATTTCAAGAGAAAGCTTCAGGAAACAGAAGTCTGGAGCAGACTTACGTTCAGATCCAAGCTCTGTCACTCACAATGCTGGATAACCCTGAGCCTTCCTGAGTTCTCTTCAAACCTCTATTTCCTCAGTTGTAAAATAGCACTAAAAATGCTTCCTCTGTCTCCCACCAAGGATTGATATAATAAGCAAAAAGGGCCACAGAAGAACTTCGAAAACTAAACCTACGTAGGCACTAACAGCACTAGCTAAGGTTTTTGGAGAATACTATATAGCAGGCTCTGTGTCAAGCACCCACATGCGTTAAATCAGGCTGTTGACTTCTGCTCTTAATCATTAAACCATGCAAACGTAAGTAAGCTTGCCTAGTACTTCATTAACTCCTCTTCTGGTCTGAGATTTCGGTAACTTCCAAGGAGGCAGTGGTGCTCTGTATCTTGCATCTCATGACAGGGTTCATGAGGAAGTGGTCTTGGCTTACTGTGGCCATGGGTCGCAGGCTCCCAGGAGTGGGAACCCCTGACTCCAGCAGCCAGCAGCCTCTGTACTCTGACATGATGTCTGATGCTACTAACTGGTGACCCAGACACCATTTGGCCTACAAGCGTTTTGTATGGCAGCGTTTAAAAATTCATTTCTTGACCAGGCGCGGTGGCTTGCCCCTGTAACGCCGGCACTTTGGGAGGCCGAGGTAGGCCAATCACCTGAGGTCGGGAGTTCAAGACCAGCCTGGCTAACGTGGTGAAACCCCATCTCTACTAAAAATACAAACATTAGCTGGGCGTGGTGGCGGGCGCCTGTAATCCCAGCTACTTAGGAGGCTGAGGCAGAAGAATTGCTTGAACCTGGAAGGTGGAGGTTGCAGTGAGATCAAGCCATTGCACTCTAGCCTGGGTGACAAGAGCAAAACTCCATCTCAAAAATAAAAATAAAAATTCATTTCTTGCCAGGCACAGTGGCTCACGCCTGTAATCCCAACACTTTGGGAGGCCAAGGCGAGTAGATCACCTGAGGTCAGGAGTTTGAGACCAACCTGGGCAACACAGCAAGACTCCCTCTCTGCAAAAAAAACAAGAAACAAAAAATAATAGTCAGGCCTGGTGTACATGACTGTAGTCCCAGCTACTCAGGAGGCTGAGGCAGGAGGATTTTTTGAGCCCAGCAGTTGGAGGTTATGATTGTGCCACTGCATACCAGCCTGGGTGACAGAGCAAGACCCTGTTTCTTAAGGAAAAAAAAGATTTAACAAAAAATTAAGCTAATTCAATTCAACCAGTCATTACTAACACATTGAGTTGATGGGACATGACTCAATATACTAAGGACGTGAAAAATCCAGAATTGTGCAATTGGGCAGGGACATGGGCAAGTAAGCAACTAATGAAATCAGGATGAGTGAGGTAAAGGTAAATATATAATCAGATTACGTCATTCCCCCACTTATAACCCTCTCATACCTCTCTCAGAAAAAATAATAATAATAATTCCTAAATCTTTACTCAAATTACTGAAGCCCTGGTGATCTGGCCCTGACCTACCCCACAGATTTCTTCTACCACTCTCTCCCCTGCTGACTCAGCCCCAGCCACTGGAGCTTTCTTTCCAACTTGCCTCAACCCTAAGGCCTTTTCCATGGCTGTGTTCTCCAGCTAGCTCCCCAGTCCCACCATTTTCACTTTTTTCTTTTTCATTTTTATCCTGGCTTGAATGTTACCTCCCTGGACATTTCACTGGTCCTTCAATCTAAAGTAGCCAAGCAGTCCCTCTTACTATTATTACCTTATTTCCCTTATTCCATTTTATCTGTATGTGCAGTATATGTGGTGTCTGACTATAGTCCCTCCTGTAGAGTGCTGCCCAGTAGAATTTTGGTAATGGAGTTATTCTGGTAACGGAGTTATTCTGGAACTGATGAACCAAAGAGAGTCAAGACAGGGATACGGAGCCAAGGCTCTGAGATGTTACATAACTGTACAATTCCATAAGATTTGAATTTGAATTCCATAGGATCGAGTCTGTCTCCAGTAGAATATTGGTAACGGAGTTATTCTGTGTGTCATGCACTACAGCAGCCACTAGCCACATATAACTATTAAGCACTTGAAATGTGGCTAGGGCAATGAAGGCATTTTTAATGTTTTTTGTTTTTTGTTTTTTCCCAAGACAGAGTCTGACTGTGTCACCCAGGCTGGAGTGCAGTGTCACAACTCGGCTCAGTGCAACCTCCATCTCCTGGGTTTAAGCGATTCTCTTGCCGCAGTCTCCTGAGTAGCTGGGACTACAGACGTACGCCACCATGCCTGGCTAATTTTTGTATTTTTAGCAGAGGTGAGGTTTTACCATGTTGGCCAGGCTGGGCTCAAACTCCTGGCCTCAAGTGATCCCCTCACCTCAACTTCCAAAAGTGCTGGGATTACAGGTGTGAGCCGCCATGCCTGGCTTAAAATTTTTTATTTAATTTCATTTTAATTAAAATTTCGGATCGCTTGAGCCCAGGAGACAGTCTTTGGGGAGCTGAGATGGCACCACTACACTCAAGCCTTAGATGACAGAACTTTCAAAAAAATAAATTAATTAAAAATAAAAAAATAAAATTTAAATTGTCACACATAGCGACTGTGTTGCATGGCACCCAACTCCAGACTATAAACTCCTTTAAGGCAATTTAAGTATTACTTGAGACCGGGCATGGTTGCTCACACCTGTAATCCTCCCAAAGGAGGCTGAGGCAGGAGGATCACTTGAGGTCAGGAGTTCCAAACCAGCCTGGCCAACATGGTGAAACCCCATCTCTACTAAAAATGCAAAAATTAGCCAGGCATGGTTGCAGGTGCCTGTAATCCCAGCTACTCAGGAGGCTGAGAGAGGAGAATCACCTGAACCCGAGAGGCGGAGGTTGCTGTGAGCCGAGATCATGCCACTGCACTCTGGCCTGGGCCACAGAGTGAGACTTCTAAAAAAAAAACAAAGTTATTAATTGAATAGATAAACAAATGGAAACACAAACCCATAGAGAAAGACCATTCATTTTGACGATGGGGTGTGGGGGGTGAGAAGAATGGGTGGAGGGTGTTTCAAGTAGAGGAAATGAGGAGCCAGAGAGAGCCAAGACTCTGAGATGTTACTTAACTGTACATTCCATAGGATTGAATTTTCTGACACACGACCATCTCCCATGAGAGACGCCTGTGTTCTAAAGACTCCCAAATAATATAGCACAGTGGGTTTTTTTTTATGAGCTATACAACCTCCATGAATCACTACTCTTTAGGGCAAACTTCATGACCCCCTGAAGGATGCATCCCAGTTGTGGGGTAAAGCTGGAGGTGACAATACTTTGGCACCAAAGCTGAATTTCCAGCTGCTCACTAGAGAGCTGCATCTGTGTAAACCAAGATTAATGGCAGTGAATTGAAATGATTCAGAACATGGGCTGGGCGTGGTGGCAGGTGCCTGTAATCCCAGCTACTCGGGAGGCTGAGGCATGAGAATCACTTGAACTCAGGAGGCGGAGGTTATAGTAAACTGAGATTGCACCATTGCACTCCAGTCTGGGCAACAAGATCAAAACTCCGTCTCAAAAAAAAAAAAAGTTAGCAGTAAGGATGGGGAAGAGGTTTGGGGAATTTGAAGACAGCTTTAGGAGAGCAAATGAAGTAGGGACAAATGTTCCGCCATCTGGCAGCACTCAGGTTATCACTGGAAGTAGGAGGTCATGAGGTTGATGCTCTGTAGCTACCTGCAGCTGCAGGCTATGGGGAACGAAGAGGACACACATCAGCAGATAACTTCTTAATCTTCCCAGGTATTTCTCTAAACATCATTTCCCCTTCAAAGGCATTTGCCAGTGCCTTTAAGGCAAAGTCCATACTCTAAAAGCTGCCCACCTTCCCAGGCTGGTCACACCCTGTCACTCTAAGCCTCACAAAGTTCCAAACAAACCGAATTGCTTATACTCACTAATCTTTGCAAGCTTAATAATTTCTAACACATGAAACTACTACAAACCAAAAATCAGAAACCCAGCCTGGGCAACAGAATGAGTCCCCATCTCTATAAAAAAAAAAAAAAAAAAAAAAAAAAAAAATTAGCTGTGCATGATTGCACAAGTGTGTGGTCCCAAGTATTTGGAAGCCTGAGTTTGAAGGACCGATTGAGCCTGGGTCAAGGCTGCAAGGAGCTGTGATTGTACCACTGCATTCCAGCCTGGGAGCAGAGCAAGACCCTTTCTCTCTCTCTCTCTCTCTCTCTCTCTCTCTTTATTTTTATTTTTTGAGATAGAGTTTCGCTGTTGTTGCCCAGGCTGGAGTGCAATGGCTCGATCTCGACCCACTGCAACCTCCACCTCCCAGGTTAAAGCAATTCTCCTGTGTCAGCTTCCCAAGTAGCTGGGATTACTGGCATGTGCCACCATGCACAACTAATTTTTTGTATTTTTAGTAGAAACAGGGTTTCACCATGTTAGCCAGGATGGTCTCCATCTCCCAACCTCAGGTGATCTGCCTACCTCGGCCTCCCAAAGTGTTGGGATTACAGGCATGAGCCACCATGCCCGGTGAGCAAGACCCTTTCTCAAAACAAAACAAAACAGCCGGGCGTGTAATCCCAGCACTTTGGGAGGCCAAGGTAGACAGATCACTTGAGATCAGGAGTTCCAGACCAGCCTGGCCAACATGGTGAAACCCTGTCTCTACTAAACATACAAAAAACAATTAGCCAGGCATGGTGGCAGGCGCCTGTAGTCCCAGCTACTCAGGAGGCTGAGGCAGGAGAGGTTGCAGTGAGCTGAGATGGAGCCACTCCACCCCAGCCTGGGCAACAGAGCAAGACTGTCAAAAAAACAAAACAAAACAAAACAAAACAAAAAGTCAGCAGCAAGGCTGGGTGCTGTGGCTCACGCCTGTAGGCCCAGCCCTTTGGGAGGCCAAGGCAAGTGGATCGCTTGAGCCCATAAGTTTGAGACCAGCCTGGGCAACATAGTGAAACCATATCTCTATAAAAAAAGTTGTAAAAATTAGCTGGGCATGGTGATGCACTCAAGTAGTCCCAGCTACTCAGGAGGTTGGGGTGGGAGGATAGCTTAGGCTCAAGAGTTCAAGGTTACAGTGAGCTATGATTGAGCCACCACACTCCAGCCTGTGTGACAAAGCAAGACTGTCACAAAAGTCAGCAGCCAGTACTAAGCTTCCGCTTTACTGAACATTATCTTTATATGGGTTTTTTTTTTTTTACAATTTTTTTTGAGACAGACTTTTATGGCTCACTTCATCCTCCACCTCCCAGGCTCA